GGCCTGGATCGGTTTTTCAAGGGTAGTGTAAATGGGGCTACTAGTTCAACAGTAGGGCTCTGCGCAGTTCAGTTGTAGCTCGGTTCTCTGATAACAAAGAGCAGAACGCGTCATCTCTTTAAAAGGCTGCCTTCTTTGCACAATTCTTCGCAAAAAACGAAATGTCACAATCATAACCAAACATAAGTTCCTGAATGTTACGGATGCCATTTTGATTTGCGTGCTTCCCTCTTTCAATCCTAGCAGTAGAACCGTAGATTGTGCTAGCGTGATTTGCTAAAGGCAATAAGGAACTGAGCTCGGCACGGTTAACCGATCCAGGCTCGGTCCGAGCTCGGCACGGTTAACCGATCCAGGCTCGGTCCGAGCTCGGCGCGGTTAACTGATCCAGGCTCGGTCCGAGCTCGGCACGGTTAACTGATCCAGGCTCGGTCCGAGCTCGGCACCGGTTGGTTTCAGAGGAATAATGTATTGGAGCTGTTCGTTGAACAGCTCCAATAAGCTCCGCCTCCGGTGCGGTCAATAACTGAGACACAGAAAAATGTTCATTCCTTCCTTCATGCTGTCAGAGAGCACACAGCTGGATGACCCATTTACAGACGTCACTTTATGCATAGTTTATTGGGGGATGAGCAGAACCATTTCTCCTCTGATCATTCATTCTTTGTTGCAATGACATCCAGAGAAGCTCTCTGACTCTTAGATAGCTCTTGATACATTTTTTGACTCCTCCGGTTAGTGAAAGTAAAGCCTCCCTGGATTATGGCTCTACTGATGTCCACTGGGACATTCAGAGGTTTAGAAGAGCGACTGTTACGATTAGTACTTCTGCTCAACAGGAGGATGAAAGTCAGATCTGTTCTAAATCAAAATGTAAAGGTGATATTAAAAGAAAGTTAAAATACCAACGCAGAGGCAGAGAAGGAAAGATGAGCGGCAGTGCATTACACTAATGGACATCCACAGTGGTGCCGTGGGTTTAGGGCGGATTAGAGTTCACTACGTCACCGAGAATTGAAACACTCTCCAACACATGGATGATCCTGCACTATAACTTAGTGACACGTATTACCAAAGCCAATTACCAACAAGGCTGCCATTAGAATGGAAATAAAAATGGTTGAACAGTGAATTCCACATTCATCATAGAAAATAATGAATAAAATACTTATATTTCTTATGTTTACTGAAAATACATTATTGGACCTTTAAATTTTAATCTCTTTAATTTATGTTCTCTGTTCTTATGCACTCCCAATTCAAAGGACTTTCACAGTTAAACCAGCAAACAGAAAAAAAGAAAAAAAAAAGAGAGATGTAAAGATATTGATGCATTTCTAGTACAAAGGCTCCCCCTGCTGGCAGTTTGTTAAAACACAGTTTTTTCCTGGGCCAGTAAATAAACTCTGGGTGCAGGAGAAAAAAACACTTAAATAGCTTTAATATGGGGGGATATTTAGGTCAAAATTATCAGGGAAAAAAAAGTTATTGTATGTCAGTATTAAAGCAGAATTGTGTATATGTTTTTTTTATGTGATATAAAATAATAATGAAAGCCTCCAAAGATTTTTGAGGCTAACCCTAAGACTATAACAAATCTTATCTTTAAGCAAGATGTGTGCCTATAAAACAGTAATGTTACTTAATAACTTATCTACTTCATTAAATTATCAGGAATTTGAATTAGAAAGGCTGTATGAGGCGAGGCACGATAGAATATGGCATTTTTTAAACGAAATCATATGTGCACAACCTTTGTTGAATCAAATAGATTTATTCTCACAAAGCCAGGCGATGTTGCTAATCATTTCAGTGACAATTGAAACTATATTTAATCCCTGTTGAGAAAAAAACTCCATAATAATTAGATTATGAACACTTCACACAACGTTAGGGGGCCGTGCTTTTTCTGTGGCAGCTCCTACGCTGAGGGACGATCTGCCTCTGAGCAGAAGAGGCCTCTTCTCTGGCCGTGTTTAAGTCCCTTCTTAAGACTCATCTTTTTTCCTTGGATTTTAACACAATTTGAGAGGTTTTACTTTGTTTTATTCTCTTTGTATACTAATAGGTATTTTATTTTTTCTATTTTATAATTTTTTTGTATTTTATGATTGTGTGCAGCACTTTGGTCCTGTCCGGTGCATAAAGTGCTTCATAAATAAAGTTGGTATGGTATAGTTAGATCATATGAGTGTATTAAGAACATTATAATGAGGAATTTGTATTTAAATAAGTTGATGTCCACATGGTGGGCCTGTGTCCAAGGATCTGGAAGGAGGCTAAACTTCTTCCTTTACCTGAGGATGCTAAATCTAGTTTTGATGAAGGGAACTCTAGACCAATAAGTATTTGACCTGTATTAAGAAAAATGCTGAAAAGGTTGGTACATGCAAAACTTCAAGATTATTTTGTTACAAAAGCTGTTTACTATTATAAGAAAAAAGTCTAATCTATACATAACAGTTAGCCTGCAAAAATTATTAGAAGGAGAGGGGCCGGGAAACAAGACTGGTTTCTTTGTAACCGGTTTATGGGGTTCCATTAGTGTTAAAAAAAAAAAGTAGATGTAATATGTGTAGATTTTGCTGGTTTATGCTGCTGCTATTTGCTACGCTTACATTTTATATCCAATGGCTAAAGGTGTGGATCTCAACACAAAGCAAAACAAGATAAAACAGTTCTCGAGCATCAGATATCTAAAGAGGGTCAGCAGATGTGAAGCCGTCTATTTGGAGAAGACGGGTAAACAGAAGCACCATTTCAGAGGGCGGCCTTCGCATTCCAGGCATCTTTGAGTTTGGCGTCCTGATTTGACACGAGTAGATGTGGTCTGAACCAGACATTTTTATGGACATGATGGTTAATTAGGTCACACATGAAGATATAACAGTCCTGGTCCAAATTTAGCAGTGATCATACCCAAACATACCTGACCTCGGTCTTATCTATTAAATATAAACCTACTGACTGACCAAAAGAACTCGTTTCAGAGGAGAGTTTATTAAATATTTAACTAACTATACACTCTGTCTACATTTTTTCTTTCTAAATTTATAAATACTTTAACCAGCTCAAAAAACACAACCGAATTTAGTAATTCATTTATTTTTGTGTTTTCCTTATGTTGTCGTTTTCTTTTTGGTTGGTTTTTATAATGTTTTTGTAAATCTATCATCACTGTTTTATTGTGAATCCTTTACATTCTTCATATATGATTGGTGTTTTTTTTATTTGTATTAATCACACAAAATCCAAGAGTAGTGGTTGAATTATTGTTGTAATACTTTTATGCTATGAATACTTTTCAAAATACTGTCTACATAACAAATCACAGCTTTTAGATTGACTATTTACTCTGTAATGATATAGATCTTCCCATAAGAAATGTCCTCATAATTATTTAAGCTGTCAAGCATTAAGCATTGCAGCACGATCTGTTTCCTAAATACAAATCAAATGAAAGTCTGGCACTCAGTGGGAACCGTCAGCTCTATTTGGTCAAGAAAAAAACTAAAAAAAAATAGAAATGCGAAGAAGAAAATCACTGTGTGCTGGATAAAAATGCCAATATTCAGCAAACCAGCCATTCCAAACAATCCGTGTAACGTTGCTTTCAAATTAGACTAGTTGGTTAAATGAAGCTAGTTAACAATTATTTTAAAGGTTGCTACCACTGTGACATTACTTGCTGGTTTGTTTATTCTTGCTATAAAGTCAATCATCTTTAATTTCTGGGCAGACTTTGCTCACAATTGCTTTCCACAGATTTCAAATATGTACAGTGGTTAAAACAAGTGTTGAAGACTCCAACCTTTTCTCAGTAAATATATTTCTAGAGGTGCTATCGACATTTTCACCAGATGTTGGTAACAATCCACGCGATACAAAGAAATCAAACCACAGATGTCAAGAAATGAAGTTATGTGAGATAAAGTGGAATGATCAGGGAGAAAGTATTGATAACGGGTCGGGTCAAATCAGACCATGCATGACTGATTCAGACACTTAACTTTGAAAAGCTTTTTAGAGAAGAAAAAGGTTTTTAGTAACTTGTTTTTTTCTAATTTGTTTATTAAAATAGATTTTTCATATTTTATTTCAAATTTTTTTTACAGATTTGATATTTTTTTTTGTCTTTCAAAAACATTTTTTAACAGGTAATATATTTTCTATTTTTTTCCACCAGATTTTAGTTTTAAAGATGATGTCATTTTGAAATGATTTTGCAGATCATATTCTCTTTACTTCTGGAGGCGGGATTTCCTGTAGAAGGAGGAGCTACGATGCATTTCTATTGGTCTGCTGGATGTTAGCAACAGCGTATTGGTCAATGTGATCATCGAGAGCGAAAATGAAGGGAATAAAGTATGATCCGTTAAAGTCAATTGGAAAATAATGCAATATCTTTAAACATAAAATCTGTAAAAAAAAAAAAAAAGAAAAGAAAATTAGAAAAAAGGAAATTGAAAGTAAAAAATAGTAAATTCTTTTTATTAAATAAAACAAAATAAAAATACTCACAAAACTTATTGTTTAAAGAAAAGGTGTAATTTCTTGCGACTTTTTTTTTAAATTGCAATTTTCAAAATGTGTCCTTTTTTATTTTTTTTATTTTTAACAGTGTCCTGTCTGGCGATGCAGCAATAAGAATAATTGTCTTGATGCCAAAAAGAGCCAAACAGATTTTACTTTCACTAGTGGAGCAGTACGGTAACCGCCAGGGTGTTCCGCTTGATTTATGCACATATATTATAATTCATGCAGGGAGTATTACAGATTTTATGGACACTGCAATGTGAGTAGAACAGGAAAGGAAAAACAGGGAAAAAAAGAAAAGAAGAAAGAAAGAGATAAAAGGGAGATAATGATAAAACATCTTCAGTCTGCTTCATCACCTGCAAAGAGATGGAAAAAGAACACAACCAACAGATATAGCATAAGAGATACAATAAAGTAACTTTATACTATCGCCGAAGTATAAGTAGGAATACTTAATCTGACATGTATACTGTAGTAGCAGAAGATCAGAATATGGGCTTTCTGTATGTGTGTTCTTTATTTTAAACAATAATGAATCCTTACATTTTTTACTAATATGTATCCATTCATTACCTGCAGGAAAGCCAGCAGCCTGTTCTCCAGCAGTCATCCGCTAATAGGCAGGATGCACCCTATAGGCCATCGGTCCCTCACACATGCAAACAGTTTTGCACTTTATTATATTAACTATTTTTCTGTCCATATTAACAAGAAAATATTGTAATAAAAAAAACCTAAAACGTACAGAGGAAGATCTTTTATTTCCGTGTGGATCATCCAAATAAGTGGTCCTCCTAACTGTCAATCATTCTGGTGATATGTTTGCGTAAGGCTGTCCTCCATGCTCACCCAGTTAAATATCTTTTTCTGCACTCGAGAACTTTCATGTGTATATCTGTGGTGCGCTTTGAAAATGGCCGAGCATCGTAAGAGAAAAGATGTCAATACCTCGTCTATGAGACGAAAAGAAAGGCCTCAGAAGAGGCAGATATATCCCAGAATGCTTTGCACAGAGCTCTCCTCGCAAAGCATTATGGGATTTGCTGTCACAGCGGCCCGTTGTCGCCATAGGCTGCTGCTACCCTGACGCAGGCACCATGCAGTGGACCAAGGAGGAGGTGATCAGCTGTCCAAACCTTAAGTTAACTGAGTTTACTATAAAGTCCGCGCTCTATATAGTGATTGAGGGATTTAGGAGTTAGAGGGGACATTTGGTGACAGTAAGCTTGTATGAGCTATGAGAACAGCAACTTCTATACAGAGCGTGCATGAGGAGAAATTGGCTCGTGCATGTTCTAGCATGCACATTTATTTATTTTTATTTAAGTGGAGAGGGGGGGGGGGTCTTTTAAAAAATTTGAGAAAATCCTCCACAATACCTTTAATATAAGAGAAAATCCTGGACAATATTATAAAAGATGCACAACATGGAGCATGAAGGACGTTTTCCTCATTTCAAATTGTTCAAAGAAGACAAAACAAAGACATACAATAGAAGTTTGCATACATTTTTTTAATTTCTCTTAAAGTTTGTGTATAAAAAAAATAGAACAAGAAATAGATATTCTCTTTTCCTTCAGCCAATCATTTTATCCCGGTATCCCATATACTGACAAGAAAAAAAAAAATCTTACAACAGCATGTACAAAAAACAAAAAAAGATACAGAAAAGCAAAAAAACTAAAAAATCATTCCAAACAATCGTAACAAAAATCCGGGAACTGGAAGGCCATCAATAACTTAGATATTTTATAATAAATCAAACAAATCGTCAATGTAACACACACACACACACACACACACATATATTCATATATATAGCTATGTATGTATGGGTGTGTGTGTGTAAAAAGAGGGAAGGGAGGGATTGAGAAGGGGAAAAAAAACAACTTTTTTTGAATGTTTAAGTGATAAATAAGGAACAAAATCTGGCAAAAATCAGACCACAAACAAAGCCCATTCCAGAAATGGATTATAAAGTTTCGTAACAAGACGCTCGACCCAGACGCTGATGAGCTCCAGCACAGGTCTAGTTTTAGAGAAACTGCTTTCTTTAAAAAACATTTCTTCAATTTACAGTTAAACTATGTTGGAAACAGTAAACAACTAAAACAGGAAAAAACTAAATCTGACTGGAGTTAAAGTGATAGAAACAAAAGGCTCCAGTGAAACCATCAGTCAGCTTGAACTGGTCCCATGTGACGAAGGTTTGATGCATCAGAGCCCGTTAGGTTTGTGTTTTTTATTTGACCGTGCTGAACGGCACCCAGTGAGATCATCAATCCGCTGAGATGACAGCTTTAGTGTTTTATACAAGTACACAGACTGGACAAAAAGAAAAGTGAGATGGGTGGATGGTTGAAGGAAGCAATAATAAAGCCTTCTCCCAAAATATCAAAATATAAAAAAAAAGAAATCAGGTCCAAATAAAAGCCGGGGGGAGATTTGCACAGTGATCACAACTTCACAAAAAAACAGAAAATATCAAAGAACGTCCAGGAATTAAATCCAAACGTTGCTCATTGAGACCATTCCATTAAATCGCTCCTTTATTTTAATCTTCATGCTCAAAGTTGGATATTTAGACTTAAATTGTGTTTTTTTCTCTGAGAGACGGACTTTAAATTATGTTTCTCTTACAGGTCACTACTTATTTCACAAGAAAAGCGGGAACTTAAATTCAGTCCAGTTTAATGGCTCAAACCTTCATCAAACCCAAACAAATGTTCACAGAGTAGAGAGGAAATGAAACAGTTTGGGAAATAATCTGATCAAGAGGTAAATGTAACGATCCAGTTTAATGCAGCAGAAAGACGAGCAGAAACGGGTCAGTTTGTTACAGTTGATCCTGATTTGATAGAAGGAACCGTAACGCTGACAAAAAGTAGGAAACATCCTCAGGAAAGAGCAAGCAGAAATCGACTTTATATTAAGGAAAAAACAATAACGGGTTATAAAGGTTTTAATTTTCCTCTAACTTTATTTTTCTATCCGCTCTCTAATTTTCCCTTTGTGTAATTTTCAAGCCTCCAAAAGGACAAACCAGAGGTAAGAGGCCTGAAAGAAAACATCTGCTTCAGTGTAAAACATTTTATATTTAATAACTAAACTGTTTCACTCGGGTTAAACTGTGTGTAATTACAAAAAAAGGAAGGGAGCAACAAGCAGAAGGAAACCAGCAACTATATTATAACATGTCTTGATTTTTAAGATAAACCTAAATTATTTCTCTTCTAACAGCATCGCTAACTTTTATTTACCGTTACCAGATTGTGAGTTTCCCTCCTGGATCAAACGCAGCTGAATTTAACACCCGAATGACGTACTTTGACTTTCTGCTCATTTGAACATTTATATACAGACATATAAAGTGCAGGAAAAGCTGCTTCTGAGTCAGAAACTGAGAACCTAAATGAGGTGAAGGTTTATGTTGGAATCATAGAGATAAATAAAAACCGCTTGTTTTTATTTTTATTTCTTTTTAAATAAAGTTATGTTTTTCCATCCTGACAGGATTGCACCATCCCTTCCATCAGAAGCCTAATGCCAAAACAAAACAAGCTTGAGGTCTGGTTATCTGGAAGGAATACCCCTGGATTATTCATTCCTGGATTATTAATCTAAATATAATATGACGAATGAAAACAAAAGCTCTAATTTCTTTCAATAAATCGTCAAATTATAAATTTCTTTGTAGTGATACCTCGATATAATTATACTTAAACAGGATCTTTAGCTTTATTTAAATGTGATATGTTTTTTTTTTCAATAAAATTAATACCAAGAAGAAGAAAAACTGCCTTCCTCTGGACTATTGGATACGACAGGAACTCAATCTCAGCATTTATTTTATCTCAAGGAGTGAACAAGAAGCTTATTTAATAGTTTTAATGTTTTTCTTTTTAGATTTTCAGAATAGAAGTTTATTTAGATGTAATCATGACTTCTTTATAAATAATCATCTTGAATTCCTGTTTGAATAACAACCAAAGTTAATGACTTTTCTGGTTAACGTTTCAATTGGTGACATTTTATTTTCTTGCCATGGCAACAGCAATAGAAAATTGTTATTTTAAGCTTTATTTCTCAGTAGTTGGAAGATGTGATTAACTCTTTAGTTTGAATTAACATCCACCTTCGACCAATTAAACAGTCAGATTAATCCAAAGAGTCGAGATATGCTGAATAACAATCTAAATATCTTCATGTTTCCTTTGAAATGAATCCAAGCAGGAAGGTTTTCTATAAATCACAGAATTTTTATGTCAAATCTGGTTTTTAGGAGAGATTTTTATAAATTTCTAACAGGATTTGAGCAAAATTCTGGAATCTTTTTACTATATAGAATTATATATTTTTTAATCAGACTTTAAAAGCTAACAGTAAATGTTATTCTAATCCATTCGCTTGGAGTCTGATTGCGGTGAAAGCAGGTTTGGATGAGAGAACGAATGAATGCTGGTTGGAGAAAACAGCAAATGTGAGGAAAAAAAATTGAAAAATAAACATTTCTTTTTTTTTTACATTCAAATAAATAAACTGAGCATTTTTTATACTGAAATGTTTGAAGTCTTTCTACTTTTTGTCAGTATTTTGGCTGCATGCAGAGGATGGAGACTGCGCAACCTCTGTGGCAACAAACATCGCTTTAAGTCTGAGAAAAGAAAAAACAGACACACCAGGCAGGAAGTCACCAGGCGACAGCAGCAGAGGTAAAGAAAGAAAACATGGAGCAGAGAAGGATTCTACTTTTCTCTTTCACCTGAGATTATATCTGAGAAACCAGGCTTTTCCTAGAGAGCATGGTGCCCTCTAGTGGTAGGTGGGGGAGATACGGCGTCTCTCTACACGAGGCAAACTGTTGTACCGTTTATGAAATACATCCAAAAATCAATTAATAAACAATAAAATAATGACTAAAAAAAACAAATGATGTGGAGTGAAAATGTTCTAAGCAAAAAACCAACCTGAATAAGATTTTTTCTCCTTTTAATATACTCATAATATACTGACTATATAACAACCAGAAGAGAAATGATGAATAGCAGCTTCTTTCTGTACATAAAGAAAGTCTCTGACTGTATAAAAGTTAGAAAAGTGAAAAAACAACTGGTTTGTACATAAATGCTCTGCACAGGTAGAGATGAAAATGTTGGCGAATATTTACAAGTGTAAAAAAAAAAAGAAAAAGTGTACATTAAGGACGTCTCTGACCTCGGGGGGGTGGGGGGGACTCACAGGTTCATGTCCTTTTAGCTTTACGGCTCTGTTTTGTACATCTTGCTGCACCATTAAAGCTGAACTCTGAGCGACCTGCTGGAGCTGGCTTTGTTTGGGGTAAACCGACCGGACCGCTGCTCTAGAAGCTGGAGAAGCAGGGTGGGAGAGTGGAGGAACGGTAATGTCCGTTTTATCCGGAGGAGGAAGATCAAGGTGCTTTTTATTCTTTATTCTTCCGTTTTTCACGGCCGTGTCTCTAAGAGTCAACGGGGTTTAGAAACGACGTGAAAAGCAGAAGTTTGGCAACAGATTTGGCAGAGCTGACTGTTCTCCCATCGCTTGTTCCGGTTGACTGGCTTTTGACCCGGCATTATGCTGACGCTCAACCTTTACGGCGAGCCCATCCGCGAACCGCCACCTCTTTGAAGTGCTGCTTCTTCATTAGATATGCTTGAAGTTTTCAACAAAATGCCCGCTCAAAACGCTGCTCATTTACAAGGCATGTCGTTTCCTCAAACGGAAACGGATAAAAAAAAAGTAACTATAAAACGAGTCCAGCCACAGAGAGCAAAATGGCTCTCCTCCAAATTATTCTTGAAGATGTTTTTTTTATTTTTTTATAAATTTTTTATTTTTTTTATCTTTCCGCTCAGCAATAGGAGCGGTGTCACAAATGACAGCCAGCGGGTACAAACTCTGACTAGTAGGTTATTCAAAAAAAAACACAACAAAAAAGAAGAGAAGGTGTGCGGCCTCACAGCAGGACAGTAACTCTGAAAGTTTAATCTGGTGTCGAAATGCCTACATCCATCCTGTAGGGAAAGTCTCAATTTGTTCTCCGGGTGGGTGGACGCTTCACAGCCTGCTCCATCAGCAGGCTGAGGACTGTGGGAGGGGCATGGCGCGCTCGTTCTTGCGTCCTCCGTTCATGTGCGCGTACGGCGGCAGTTCGTCCAGGGACGACCGCATGTTGGAGCCCGACCCGGCTGCTGGTCCCGCGCTCGCAGGAAGGCCCGTTCCTGAGAGTCCGTTCGCTGCCTGCTGGCCTGACGGCTCTGGGACCTTCACTGCGCTGGATGTGCAGGGAGAGGAGGGGGAGCTGGGGGCCTGTGGTGGAGCGGGTGGGCCCTCCGAGCCGGGGGAAGGGGGGGTCTGCTGCGTGGAGGCAGAAGGATCCAGGCTAGCATCCACTGTGTGACCCAGCTTGTCCAGGTGGAGCTGCGGAGCTTCAGGGGGCTTGTTGTCGGCGCTGTAGTAGAAACTAACCTCTTTGAAAGACGGGTCCAGCTCATCCTTTATGCTGCCGATTATCTCCACGAAGGAGGGACGCATTTTAGGGTTGAACTGCCAACACATCCGCATCAGCTCAAACCTGCGCACACAGAAATATCGGTTCCATCAATTTATGTTCCCGCTGCAATCCCACAATAATTTACTTTGGCAAAATATTTGCTCTCTGGAGCCAAAATGGCGGCATGTATCCGCTCCTTCCCATTTCAGTTTCTGGAATTGAGAGCTAAAGCAACTTTGTCCAAAAAAGTGTATTTTATTTCAGAAAAGTTCAACATTTGGGAATATTTGACTAAAAATAAGAGCATTAATCTCTTCTGTCTATATTCTAACCAAGCAGCTACGATCAGATGATTTGATCAGCTTAAGATAAAAAAAAAAAAAAAATTAAGGAATTTTTTACTTTAGGAAAATAACCATTTAAATTTTTCATTTCAGATTTTTTAAACTAACTTTAATAATTTAAAGGGATTTAAATACATGCCTGATATATATAAGTCCTGTTTATATTTGTGCTAAGAAAAAAAGTGTTCATCTATTTAATAGGTACCTTAAACTCATCGTTTAAGGAAATGCAGTAGTACTAAGAACCCAGCCTGATGCTACTTAAAGGCTAAAGATTCCTTCAGTTCTGGAGAGAACCATGTATGCTTAGGAAGCAACTAATTCCTGAAAAAATACCCTGAGATTTAGGAAAAGCATCTTGGGAAATAACTCTGCATTAAAGTTCTCTATTACCTCATTTACACTACCCTTGAAAAACCGTGCCGAGACCGGTCTGAGCTCAGTAACTGGGATAACTTATGGTGTGTAAATGGAAAGCAAACTGAACTGAACCGAGCTAGACACAACCGAACCGAGATAACTGCAGACCAGTTCCAGAGGTGGGCTCGGCTTGGTTTTTCCCTGGCTCGGTTCTCTGATAATAAGAGCGCATGAGCAGAACGCGTCGTCTCCATCTGGATGCACATCCCGATTCACAATCCATTCCAGTAGTTGGCGGTAATGCCCCTCCAGAAACAGAAGAAGAAGAACAACTTCTTCAACTATAAACAATCGAAATCTTCTCCACGCAACATTTTAAATAATAACACCGAAGTACAGCAATAATAATCAAGCATAACATTCTGAATGTGACGGGCGCCGCCATTTTGATTTGCTTGATTCCCTCCTTCTTCATCTTCTTCTTGTGTTTTATGGCAGTTGGCAAACAACTCTTGGTGCATTACCGCCACCAACTGCTTGATTTCCTCCTTCAATACTGGCAGTAATACCGCAGATCGTCACTAGGAGGCGAGGAGTCAAACCGAGATAGCGTGATGTGTAAACGGTCGTCAGAACCGAGCTCGGCCCGGTTAACTGATCCGGCTCGGACCGGTCTCGACATGGATCGGTTTTTCAAGGGTAGTGTAAATGGGGCTTATGAGTCCAAGAAGGTACCAGAGAATAACCAGAGGTAACGTAGAGCTCTTAAGCGTACATAAAAAGAAATAACCTGCAAGTTCCTAAAAAGGTAAACAGTAAGTTTAAACAAATGACCCACAAGCTACTAAAAATATAACCAGCAAGTTCCTAAAAAGATAAGATACAATTTAAGTTTTAGAAGGCATGTTAAAACCTCAAAGTTCCAGAAATCCTGCAACATCTGGGGGGAAAAAAATAAACAAATTTTGAGATCCTAAACTTAACCTTTATGTTCCAGGAAAGTAACTCTGAATTTTCAGGATAAAGTTTCTGTAAAGTTCCAGAAATATTGCAAAAAAAAAAAAAAAGTTCAGAATGAAACAAACCAACAAAAGAAAACCTGCAAGTTCTGACAAGGTAGCCTGTTAGTTATGGGACAGCTTTTTGCTAGTTTAATAAGAATATATTTTGAATCAAGGAGGAGGCAGATTCCTGAGGTTATCTCATGTTTAAAACGCACATCAACAATATAAACAAGCTGGTAATTCTGAAATAAGACACAGCTATACGTTTCCTTTTCTTTGTTTTTTTCCCCACCAGACGCCATGTTTGTTTGCCATGCTTTGAAAAGTTGTTCATATTTTGCCTTGATAAAAGAGGCAATTTAATATAATATAAAATTAGAAACAAGCACAGAACCAGAAAAGGCAGAATGTAACAAACAGGCAGGGAGTGGAACGAGGTTCAGAGAGTGACAGACAGCAGCACCGCTGCAGTGGGGGGGAACGGGAGGCGCTCATAATAAGAAGGCAGGGGAAGGAAAACATGGTAAACACAAAGGCCAGGACATGGATGCATAACGGTTTGTAGTGCAGGCTGGTGTATGTGCGGTTCCTTACAGCATGTCTGGACAGTTCTGTGGTTTCTCCAGTAGGCCTCCCTCCATTACAAAGCGAAGGACTTGTTCATTGGACAGACCCTGGTAGGGCTGCTCTGCCAGGGTGGCAATCTCCCACAACACAACCCCAAAGGACCTGCAGGGGAAAAAACAGCACGGCGAACTCAGAGAGTCTGGTTTGCATTACCAGGTTTTTAAATGCACCACATGGAGAACAAGAAGGCCTGTTTACCAGACATCTGAGTTTGTAGTGAAAACGCCGTCCTTCAGAGACTCCGGGGACATCCAGCGGACAGGGAGCAAACCTTTCCCCCCCTTGCGATAGTAATCAGTCTCATAGATGTCTCTGGTCATCCCGAAATCTGCGGAGAGATGAAGAACGGACAACGTCCACTTAGCCAACCCCGCTGCATTAGAAAAACACCATCCCGAAAACTTTTAATCACTTTCCAAACGATATATTGAGCTGATTCTTTGGCTGTAATTCCTGTCTGCCGAACGAACGGCTCCGTTTAGGAGAGGAAGGCATTCTTTAGGGAGATTACAGCCCCAGAAATAGTATTAAATTAACCATAATCCTTTGGAGAGGCATCCATGCTGGTTTTACAGACATTCAAACCCACAGAAACCTTTAAATTGTAGTGCAGAACAGTTCCTATAATTGTGTGGGTGTTTTTTAGACTAAGAGGTCACACAGTTCTCCCACAGAGGAAACAAACCTGAAAGCATCTGCTCAGAACACAAACAAAAATAGGCCAGAACCAGAACCGGATGTGCATCAGTGCACGCCGATGAGGACTCTCTACATTTAATGAGGGAGTGCGGAGTCACCTCCTATCTTGACAGTGAAGTCCTCGGCCACCATGCAGTTCCTGGCGGCCAGATCTCGATGGACAAACTTGTTGGCGTTGAGGTAAGCCATGCCGTCGGCGATCTGTCCCGCCATCTGAAGCATCTTTTTCAGCGGAGGGAGAGACAGGCTGGAAAACTGTTGCTGCAGAAACACGGACAGGAGGCAGGATTTGGGATGTTAAAGTTCATTTAATTCATCGTCTGTTTAAAAGGGGCGAAACGTAACGACAGGGGCAACTCATGGAACGCTCTGATTGAAACCTGATGGTAGCAGCGTGGGATAGCATAGAGATCCAAATTCTCCTGAGCTCTGCGGTCAGAATGCATGGACCAAATTACCTGCAGGCTGTTCCTCTGATGAACTGTTTGTACCGACTGATTGAGCTGGGTTGGCTCTCCATCAACTCCTTAATCCAATGAAAATAATCTGAATCAAACCAGCATCTGTAGGGTCTTTTACCTCTTTAGGACGCAGTGAGCGAAGGTAACTCTTCAGGTCTCCCTTCGTCATCAGCTCCATAATGACCAGGGTGGGTTGGCCTTGGGAAACCACACCGAGGAGACGCACCTGCACAACAAAACCAGAGAACAGCAGCTTTCCCACCTGCTTTTCAAACAGCTACATCCATGTCCACTGGGGATGTTTGTTCGTACCACATGATGGCAATTAAACTCCTTCATAACAGATGCCTCGTTGAGGAACTCGATCCTCTCCCTCATGCTGGCCGACTCGTTTACTGTCTTGACGGCGACGTGTGTCTCCGGCTCGTCTTTGACCACACCCTTAGCCAAGCCTTCGTAAACCATCCCGAAGGACCCCTGGCCCAGCTCCCGACACAGGGAAATCTTCTCCCGGGCCACCTCCCACTCATCTGGTACATACACTGGAAGAAAACAGGCTTTCTGTGAACTCTGCTCCTATAACCACAGATATAAGTTTGATTTTACGTCTGCAGCAAAGAGATGACTGACTTTCTGCAGCGCTGAAGTACTCCGGGTTGACCGAGGCGTAGAGGACTCCGTTCCCGAGCCGGTCGCTGTTCCTAATGGAATAAAAAGGGTTTATAAGGGCTGAAACAATCAATCAATTATTGAAATAATCGTCAACTAAATTAGTAATCGATTAATGGTTAACTGCAGTATAGAGACTCTTAAACGTACCTTTAAATGACAGAGCACTTAGAGCAGGAATTATAGCATAATTGTAAAAACAGGGTTCCTACAGCATAAGGCAAGTTAAATTCAAGACTTTTAAAGACTTTT